GTACATGGACTGATTTCCTTCCGATAGAAAACGACTGGACATGAGCTACTCCGCTTTCCTGTCATCAATAAAAGGAATAACTGGCTCTGCTTGCATATTTGCAGTCAGGAGGATTCTTATCTGCTTTTGTTTGTAGGAAATAATCATGTCTTTAAGATCAATTAGGGAAATAAAGATTTTTGTTTTGAAGTCCATATATTTTCTAAAATATGACAAGAGGATAGGATGCTTCATATAATTGTATACTACTTGTTTTATCTGGTAAAATACGTAGAAATCTCGCTAATTCACATTTAAATTACTTTGAATAGTCAAAAAGTTAAGAAATGTCGAAATGTCTTCAAAAAGTGACAAAAATAATGAAAGGAATGCAGTCTAAATATTAGACATGGAAGTAATGGTGTGTGAAAAATGCAAAAATGTAACTTTTGTTGCAGGGCTAAAACAACAAATCAATCAGAATTGCCTCAAAACACAATGTGCGTGGCGGACAGGCTGCAATTTCCATTGAGGGAATAAAAAAGAAGACAGCATTTGGTTGGTTTCGATAAGCGAGACAGCCCTAAATGATTGCATCCGGCTCCTCGCACTCAATTACGGTGATTATAGCAGCGATAACGAGACAACAATGACAGAAAGTTTTTTGGGATGCACACCGAGCAGCACGCGCGTCCTCTCCGAGGTGAGCCGCTCCCGAGTCTGCGCGTGTTCAAACACTTGTTATTTACCGGCGACGCGTTTATTTCAATTACCGTCTGCATGTCAAATTAGCTCTGCGTATGTAGTGTTTATTAGCACAACAAAATAATAAAGCACACGCAGAGGAAAGGGAGGGGTGGGGGGCGAATGTAGAAAAAAAAGGGGAGGGGGGGGAGAAGTTGCTTCTGCTTTTAATAAAGAATGAGGAATTAGTGCATATTGATAGGACTTAATAGACCGAGGGGGGTCATCAAACTCGCGACTGAGCGATCCATGGTTAATTTACTATCGGTGTCATGTTATGGGAGGGGGGAGAAGAGGGGGTTGGGGGGTATAAGGCGCGCGACGTGACGCCTTAATATACTTTTCAAAAATGTTGAAAAGGCCCAAATACATATAGGAAATATACAGGAGGGGGAACATGTGGAAACGGGAGAGGTTTTTTTTCATATGAAGGTGACGGTAAATAAAACTTGCAACAGAAATCCTCTCCAACATTAAAACAAAACTTGTTTTAATTCTCTAATAAAACATCCTGATCTGATGAATAGGATTTTGAAGCTCCTCGCTAGCCACTTAATGATTATCTACGTGGCGATAAAAGCGAGAGTTAACTGGTTTCCTGATAATTAAGCAGGTGGGAGGATTTTCGTGAGTGTGTCTCCCGGACGTGGAGCTTCTTCGGAGCCAAATTAAAATAAACTTCTCTCCCTGCGGCCATCGATCCAGCAGAAGAGGTGTGAAATGGACATTAATTTTAGTTCACTTCTCGCTGCGCAAAGGAGGGGAGCATGGAGAGATCAATGGCGGGCAATAACAGCTGACTGCTGAGAGGGGGAGAGAGAGAGAAGGGGGGAGGGAGTGGTGGAGGGGGGTGAATCGAAAACGCTGACAAATAAATCATCTTTTGCTACTTTAACTCCAACCTCGACACTTTTCCCCCCTCTTCTTTACGCCTATACAGACTACTCCTTTGGGAAGGTTAGAGAAAGAGATGAGGCCTAAATGAGGAAGTGAGGAAAACACAGACATGGGGAGAATTAATCAAATATAGAGGGTTGAATTGGTTGAGAAAACAAATGTGCATTATGCCTCGTTTGGTAGGCTACTTGAATGTGTCAAACCATTACAAAAATATATAGTTAATATTATAGTTGAAAATGGGCATCGTTAATGTGATTTATATCTGTGTAATCCCAAGGCTCCGAATAAATAATTAATAATACCGAACAGACTGTAACGCGAATGGAAAGCTCATATTTAGACATTCCTAAAATCAAAAATCAGACTTCTACAACCTATCAAAGAAAAATATCAAGCTGTTCTAATCGCGTTTAAATGTGGAGATGAAACAAGCGGCGGCCTGTAAATCACTAACATAAAATAAAGAAACTGAAAAAGTGTTTCATCACTCTAGATTACAGCAACACCTCAAAACATGCTTAAATAAATCGGAATATAATCATGTGTATGAGGAAAAAATCAGGCTTGAATTTGTCTTAATTAATAATAAACAGCGTCCTATTTAAATGCTCGTTTAAATACATTGTAAGCAATGGGCCAGAAATCTATCCGTCAAATCGCTCCGATGTGTTCTCATTAACATATCATTAAATACATAGCAACTAAATATCAATTTCAATTTATAAAACCGCGTGTAAACATTACAAATATATATGAAATAAAGCTAGACTCTGCATTACATTAATCATCTAAATTATTGATCCAATGAATGCATAGTGATGTGTGTCATATAGAGGAATGGGCTGTGTATCATCGCCTTTAATGGAGAAATGACATGTTTCATTTACGGATAATGAGGCTACAGGTGCTCGCCTTTCTTCATCAGCAAAATGGTGTTAATAAGAAATGTGCAAAACATAAACTTCCCGGAAACAAATCGCCATGTATTTACTGTATTTGATGAAATTAAAATGTGGGCATTTTGTTCCTGTAATTTATCCATTCCCGTCTAATTTCCCACTTTTAAAGATAATTATTGCTCGCTAATGTGCGTTTGTAAGAAAGGAAAGGGCTCGGCTGGTCGTTAGAAGTGAAGGGTTGGTTGATCTGACCAATCAATACAATCAATTGGAAGTCATTCATCGCAAGGGGTTTCACTGAATCTGGGATTTGGAGTTTGGGATTTTTCAGGAACTATAATTCAATCTTCACAGTGTGTTGAGTTCAATGACCCGCCTCGGGGTACACCTTCGCTCCAAAAGTGTGTTTTTACGCGCTATTTATTGCTGGCAATGAGAGGACTTTTCAACTTGAAAATTACTACTAATAGGTCCGCTGCGTTTTTCCCACACTTGGAATTTTATTATTCCCTGGTCTGGGTGTTTTGTGTGGCAGTGCGCGTTGATCCGGGCGAGACTGCTCACTTGTTTGCTTCAGTGAGGTCGTTCCAAAACCAAACCAAAAATACATTTAAAAAACCGACATGCATGTGATAAAGAAATGTTGAACACACACGTAGAGAACTAAAACAGGGAACATAAATAGTGGGAAAATGTGTCTATAAAAGATCAGAAGTTATGAGTCCAACTGACAAAAGAAATAAAAAGAAAGTCGATTTCATCCACGATTTTCATTGTATACACCCGTAACACCGAAGAAGAACTTCCTTAACAACAAAAAAGAAGATACAAAAACCAAAACGAATGTCCTGCCATGACTATTTGAAAATAAAAAGAGGAACTATACCTAAAAATGAAAGAAAAAAACTCTTATTATAAAAGGCGTGGGAATTTCATTGTTTTTATAATTATTCTGTTAAAATAAATAATCCAGTCTTCACGGTAGAATGCCGAAAAGGTAAATGAAAAGTGGATGTTGTATCCGGTGGATCGACGCAGCAGCAGCGGGACTTGGCGCTCCGGGAAGCCGATTTTGGCTCACTGTGCTCGGCCATGAAGCTGGAAGGCCCCCGGGACTTCCGCTGGCTGGGCGCTGCTTATTTAGGGGGAGCATGTAAATTATAGTGGCTCCCTAGTTAACAGGTGTTTCCCAACTGTGTGCAGACTTGTGTGTGTGTGTACGTGTACGTGCACGCGCATGCTACGCAGCGAGTCGTCTTTCTTTTTGAATTGAAGCCGTCTGTTTCTCTTTGAGACAAACTGAGAATAATTTGTTTCGCATTTAAGGACTTGATTTCACACACGCTTATGGGCGGAGGTTTTTCTGTACAAAAACGTTTGCATTATTTTCCCTTCTACTTTCCATTTTTGTTCTTTTTCACAATGCTTTAGTAATTGCATTTTTTATTTTAATTTGCCTACAGTCACAGTTGGATGAAGAAAAGTAGACCCGGGGATAAAACACACATTCGTTTATGAAAATGATATCAGTATGGTTGTGGTCCATTGTAACGGATTCATTTAAATCAGGCTCATCAGAGGCTTTATAGACCCCAACTATCAGGGCCATAATGCGGTTTAAGCCTCATGTCCTCACCCTTATGAGCACTTTATTGCTGCAAAGCAACAGTAACTTTCACTGAAAACCAGCGATGGAATTATACAGGCAGCTATAACCACTACAGCCTTCGTGTGAACAACTAAAACTAAAACTCAACTTTTAAATAAAAACAATCAGTGCAGGCCTGCCGACTAACGTTCATTTGTCAGGAGCAGCATATTGAGAATGATTTGGTAGCTCTGCGACAGTAATAAATATTATTTTCCCTGAGGCTGTGATTCAATTTGTAATTATTGTCCGTTAATGTTTGAGAATAATTAACGGATCTAATCATTAATTCTGAAATATATAACTCTCCTTCATCATAAGTAATATCAAGATGAATATGAAGAGTTGTAGATAGTTTAAATATCGGTTGCAGAGTGTGGCCGTGCAGGACCTGTAATGTAATATCGCTTGCTAATCTATGTTAATGGTAATGGCATGGACACACGCACTATACTGAACAATTCAAGTGCGTGTCAAGAAACCACTTTCTTGTTTGGGAACGTCTAATAAACACGCACACGCGTGCATACCACTCCAGAGACATACACTTATGTAAACGTACACGCACAGAGGCGTGAAAGTCCGAGTCCAAACGCAGACAGACCGTTCCGTGACTTTTTCTAATTATTTATTTATATGTAAACGCGTGGAAACGCCACCGCGAGCAGCGACCAAAGCGTAAAATCCCGGAGAAAGTTTATTGAGAGGACTCGAAATCCGCTTCCAAACCAGAAAGAAGCCGCGGGACGCAAGCAAGGTGTGGAAACACAAACTGAGAGCTTCAAACCTAACCAAACAACAACAACAAAAAGCCAGTCAGTGTTACTCACCTCGCCGTGGCAGAATCCGCTTCTTTACCAGACGACTCCTCGGTTTCCGGCTTCTTCTTTTTTTATCCTCACAACAAACCGAAAACTTTTTTCTGCGGGGTGGGAATATCAGTAGCAGTGGCCCTTCTGGCTCTTGCGCAGCAGCACCGGAGATAACGGGAGGCGCTTTGTGGAAGCAAAAGTAGTTAACACCTCCCTGTTAGGTTACCAAAGCGCAGCCAGAGAGGAGGACAGAGAGAGAGCGAGGGAGGGAGTGAGAGAGAGAGGCTGACTTTCCACAAACACAGTGTAAAGTGGGTATCAATAGCGCAATCGCGCGTGCAGCCCCTCCGCTGGAACACCGAGAGGGACGATCAGTGAGAGGAGAGGGGAGTGAAGCCGGGGAGGGAGGCAGGATCGCAGAGATGGTGGCAGGCAGTGGTGGCGGTGGTGTGAGGGGAGCAGGAGGAGGAGGGGGGAGTGGGGGTCTCACAGTGCTCAACGGCGACGTGTGTGAGGCTGGGAGCCGGGCTGCGCGAGGCTGAGCTGGGAGTGTGGGGGTGGAGGGGGAGGGAGGGGTGTCCAGGGTCCAGAGCGTCTCGAGGTTCAGTGCTGCCGCGCAGCGCTCGGGTCGCTCACTGACGAAAGACAAGCACACGGGAACACACAATATCGCTACATTTCTTATCTAACAATACACTTTTTAGTTTTCTATTACAAATCATGTCTTAATCTAGCTTTAAAACTGACCACACAGAGGGACACAGCCCTTTCTCCCCTTCAGACACCACTCAGTGTCCTGTCCTGCGTGAGATCAAGGCACCGGACAGTGTTCATGGGTGTAAGATAATGCAGCTGTGACAATATTTCTGCTATTACAGTCAAAATACATAACATGTGTCTTTATTCTTGTAGTTCCAACGAAAAAGAGACATTACGAGGAGAATTGATCAGAGGATACATTTAGTTGTTAGTATTATTATTTTTTGTATCCATGTGCATGTGTGGACACCCCACCCTCCTCTCCCCTGTTTCTGCTGGTTCGTTCCCCTGGGTGATTTCCACTGCGCTTTGTGCGCAAAGTGAATGAATTATCCCCCTACTCTCTCTCTCACACTCTCGCTCTCCCTCCCTCTCTTTCTCTTTCACCCGTTAGAGAGACTGCTTGCCATAAAGCCAATGAAGTCCACCTCTTAACAAAAAGAGGTGGACTAGACACTCTTATAAAGTGCGCACTACAGACTGAAGTTAGTCACACAGAGGGAAGTTCACTAAACCGGCAGCTGTGTGGCAAAGTCCCCTGGCGTTGATTAACCAAAACTTCAAAGATATTTTCAAATAAAGCATGATGGGAAAGGTTGGCACAAAGAATAGTGAGCTGTTTCATTTTGAGAAATTCTTCAAACTTCATCTTCAGAATTTATTTATTTTTCAAACCGGTGTTGTTTAAAAAATAAAATAAAAAAGAAGACCCCTGGCATCTGGGGTTGGTTATAATCAAGTTATCTTTTTGAAAGGTATTATTTATATTAATTCAGATAAAAGTTAACTTGCATAACATTTGTGACTGTACACTCTCTCATAAGTAAAAACAAATTACGAAAAGCTCCTTGAATGCACCTTCTATCATTAATAACATTTTCTGACCACTATTTTAGTCAACAAGGCAAAGTACTGACAAAAGTTTTATCCCCAAACTATTAGCCCTGGAATATATCAGATGTTATGGGGTGTTTATAATATAGCTTTTGAGCATAAAGTGTGTCTCTGTGTGTGTGTTGGGGGTCTGTGTGTAAAACTGAGGAAAAGAGAAGCCTCTTAGCCTGTCTCCCTCTCCACTACACCCCCCTGCTGGTCACATGTGGAATTGATAACACATTACCAACAGCTTAGTACTGTCTTCTTCTGTAGTATATTCCTTTCAGTTCTACTAGTACATAGATGATGGTGAGGGTGGTGCTGTAGTGGCACAATTGTGTTTTTGAGGCTTGGTTTAGACTTGGCCCAGAAAGGATAAAACAACTGATAAATGTTATCTAAAATGAGCTCTTACGATCAAGCAAATATACACAGATAAACAAAACAGAAAATTAGAGGTCAAAACTAGTGGTGGGGTGCATGGGCTAAAAGCCTTTTACTGCAATGGAGAGGATACAGAGTGGAGAACACTTTTCATTTTCTGTTCCGATAGGCTAAACTGGAAGTGGAAACTCCTGCAATGACAGTGTGAATCACTTTCATATAAAAAGAAACAGAAAGTAAGTTAATTGTAGATACATTTTTATTTTCTTTCAGATTAAATATATATATAAATAAATATAAATAAAAAATATATATATTTAATCTGAACGTCGTAGATCTTAAATGCCCCAAAATGAGGTCTCCCTCACACAGTTCATCATAGGAGACTTTGGATGGTTATCTAATGGAACTTTGATCTGGTTTAACGCTATAATACACCGTTGTTGTAGGTAACAATAGCGTGGGAAAAGTGAAGAGGCTTGAGTGTGTGTGTGGTCTCCATACACATGAGGGGCAGTAGCTGCAGTAGCAGTGCCATTAGTGGTGTGTTGTCTTGCTAATAGGCTCAGTTTGGAGTCAATGGGCTGACTGAGGAAGAGGACCATCCATGTATTAGATCCCTCTCCATTCAAAGTCTAATGCCACTCTCTTTAGTCCCTCCCTCTGATGTTTTTAAATGCTGGCTCTGTGTGTATTGAGGAAGCACTTTGATAGCACCTGTTGCACTGCTGAGGCATCCCAGTCTTAAAGCAAAGGCATTCCCAATGTAGATATCAGAGGGAGAAGGGATACTATGCATTGGCTTATAGGTGTGTAAGATTATAACAGTTTTATTTCCCAATATGTTTAACTGATCAGTCTCTACAACAATGGAAGTAAATGTGATTTGGTTTGTGCCTGCAACATTGAACAATTATCTTAAAAAAGTTTAAAAGGCCTCACTTTTTTTTCAGAATCAGTGTTTTAGGAAACTCTATACATTTCACTGTGGACTGCTTTCTATTGAGAGCATGCTCTGTGGATTACCCAGAGCAATGCTGAGGCTGACTTTTGTCCTGTGGTAGAAGACACAGCCCTCCCATTCATTTGAATGAGGCTGGTCACAATGAGGGGGTGCCACACCACACTAGTATTTATACTGTCACAATTGCCAACGTTTCAGTGTACACCAGGATACTGGTATATACACTACTCTATGCATAACATTTATTTCAAAACAAGAAAAACCTGGTGTTCACTTTATAACGTATAATCTCAATGCATCTGCTAAAAATCGGACAGTGTTAAGCCTCTTGGGGCAAGGGGCAATATTTGGGGGGTTTCATAGTATCAAGAAAATGGTCAGACGAATATGCTCCGAGAATGCATTTTGGCCAATGGTTTCCTGCTATTGCTCCCAAATAGAATGTTAAATTGCATTCGACCAAAGCTTGAACAAAATTGATTAGTCAACACTCGGACTGCAAACGGAAACCAAGATGCCTAGCTAAAGCATGTCCCCATGCCCACAGATTCTGCATTCTTATGGAAACATCTCTATGAAGAGATTATAAAAAAATCTGTGAAAAATTAGCGTTTGCATTTATTTGTTTGGTCAACACAGTCTCATTAAAGGAATTGGCTGCCAATGTTCATACAGTGCTGAACGTGGCCTTAGATAATTAGCAAATGTATCTGTTTATTTAATTCTGAGAATAAAAAATACACATTCAAATCTAACTTGTACGCTCCTAGATGCAAGTAATGATTGATAAGCCATCTACTGTCGCACCCAGACCTCCCCTTGCATGAGTGTACAGCATTGTGTGTTAGCAGACACAGGTTAACACGAAGACTCTGTATTTTTCAGCAGATTTCTTAGCTTCCATCTGAACTGAGTCATGTCCTTGTGTTATGAAACCCCTCACATCTCCTCTGAAGTGACATAGCGATAATGAAAAGCCGAGCTGACAGCAGAGGGCCGGGGCTGCCCTCTCACGGCCTGCTTTCACCTTTGCTTGGCCGAGTTTATCCTTAAATTGAATTCCACTTTTTCAAAGATTGAGCCAGGAGGGCTGGACTGAGGCAGGGAGAGTGGAGGGGCTGTTACAAACTGTGGGTTTCTGCTTTATTTGTGTTGCTCTTTTCCTTGGCTATCAGGCTTTCTCTGGTAGAACACAGCAATTGGGTGGAAAAGTAAGGTTCTTTAGTGAAGCAGTGAAACCGTTTTTTCTCTTTTTTGAGCTTGCTGGTATATACACAGATAAAGAAAAGGCTTCCTAGCGGGAGGCCCTGGTCTATTTTATGACTTGAACCTGTAATCCTTTGATATTTTAATGCAGCTCAAACTTGACCCTCCCTACCACCCAGTGACTAAAGTAATACCCTGTTAGGTCCTTCACACCACGTGGGACTTAATTCCTTAAACAAACCATGTTTGAGTGTGATTTACAGCTAATCCGGACAGGCAACGGTCATTTCTATCTTTCCTTTAATAATTTACGATTGGTGGAATTTATAGCACCCGGCTGTGCATGCCGCCAAATCCATATGTCTGTAATATAATGAGATTTAAGCGCAGCGAGATTATACATTATGGTGTGATTTGTTCTCTCCCTGTTTTGTCGGGGCATAGCCTTTGAGTGTGTGTGTGTAGCTTGGGGACATGGCTGGCATTTGGCTGCCACGACGCTCTAATTGCTGACGTACACACAGATAGATGGGACCTGATGGTTGGTGTCGCCACTGGAGGGAGGGAGGAAGGAGAAGTGAGGGACGAAAGGGGAGGATGAGGAGACTGAAGCGAAGGGGGATAGCTGACTGGAGGAGATAAAGATGGGGAGGTGAAAGGAAAGTGGAGCATGGATGGATGGATAGATAGATAGATGGAGAGACAAGTGAGGAGGACAGGTATTGTCTTGTGGCGGGAGGCGCAGCTGCCAGCAGAAACACAGCCAAGCGGTTAACCACACTGAAGGAGCCACATTTAGAGAGAGAGAGAGAGGAGGGACAGAGGCTCAGCCACATTCATCTCGCTCTCAGATCCGTTGCTCCAGGGAGCTGTTGGAAAATGAAGAATTACATGGCCCTGATCAGATTACATTACAGAACAAGTGATTACATGCGTTTGACTCTTGTACAAAAGAAGGGAAAAAATGAAGGGAGGGAAAGGAAACATACATGATCTGATTAATTATGTAATTAC